ACACACACATATATATATATGACGATTGATGATATATTTATGTTAAGTATGTGTGTGTGTGTGTGTAGAACTTCACTTATAAACCGAACCAAATCCACTTCTCTAATTTATTGAGTCGGAAAAATTATTGGTAGCTAATAAAATGCTCTTGAAATTGAATTCCACCAGCTTCCCATCCTCCTGCCTACCTTCGCTTGTAAAAATTCTCCCAATCATATTTCTCTCTGCTCCTGCCATAATAAAAATTATGATCATAAGTATTAATAATTGATATTGTAGGTACCGTAAATTAACATAATTATTAAGTGTTCTAAAACTAACATAAATCATGAGTCGCATTAAATATATTTGGTCCATTTTTAAATATTTATTAAAAATTAATAAAAAAATATTCAGTATATACCAATTATATTTACATAATAATTATTACTTGATCTGTATTATTAGAATATCTAATAATTATTTTTGATGTTATTATTATTATTGTAAAATTAAGTAAGGAGAGTACTAAATACCGCGATCCCTTGAGGTCTTCCGACACCATAGACAATAGAAAGCAATTATAGCAATGAGAAGGAATGCAATTAATGCAGTAGATGTGGCAACTACCACCCTCTTATTTTTAATGAGCCCCTGATTATCCTTGTCATATGACCCATCTGCAACTGCATCTTTAAATAAAATTAAATCATTAAATAAATTCTACGGAAGAAGAAATGAGCAAGAAAAAGAAATTGGTAGAAGAATACAACACAGGAAATTAAATATACCAGATTTGGAGCCTGGAATTCGAACATAGAGATCTCTACCCTTTTCATCTCCAGAGAACAGTTCTACAAGATCTAGCAAATTTCCATGCCAATTCAAACATGTAATTATATCATCTCTTCCTTCCACATCATCATCCCTAACTTTATTGTTCGGCATATCCAAGTAACCATATGCCGAACAAGAGCAGTTCTGCAAACACCAGGACTGGCATGTACTCACATTCATCATCCCTAACATTATTGGTAGATCGGGAAGTTTCATCTTCTTCACCTTCAAAAACCCATCTCTGTTGTTGCAGTCTAAATCTCTTTCCACCATGCACCCACCAGACCACTCTCCTTTATCCCATTCTTGTTTATTTCTAGGCTTATAACCAGGCAGACACTTACAGACCTGCCATGAAGAGGATTCACTCATCAAGTCACACACACCAGATGGTCCACAATATCCGTAGAAGTCACACATACGAGATGGTGTACTCCAAATAGATGCCCATACATTATCGACCCAAAAGAGAAGCTTGATTTGTCCATCTGATGTTAACAAAATCCTTGCCTTATCTAAACGTTTTGGTGAGACAAGTTCAAATGTCAGATAATGTTCATCACCAAGAAAGTTTAAAATTAGGAGGAAAGAGTCCATATTCTTCCCCATACCATATATGGAATCTGTTTCGCTTACACTGAGCACATCGCTTCTCCAATATGGTTTAGAGTTCTTCCAGGTGAGGAACTGAGTAAACCCTTGTGGGTCTATTCCCAAAGAAAATATTCCTGGTCTTGGATCTTGTTTGTTTGACCAAGATGACAGAAAAAGTTCTTTGTTGGTTTTCTTGTTAACACTGAGTATCTTTCCTGGTAATGCTGTATCAGAAGAAGTGTTAAAGCTTTCCCACACGGTTTCTTCGTCATGTAGGAGAAGAAGATTTCCGTCGTCTCTCAACAATCCAACTGTTGTGTTTACGGAATGCTGCGATGTAATATTTGTTGACCAGACAATCTTCCCTGTACTATCTAAAACCAATAAGTTGCTATCTCTGAGCGTGAATTTGCCTGGAGAATCCTGTGGGGAGTCTCTGTTGGCAACCCAAACAACTGTTTTTGTGGGGCCTAAATCATGATACCAGATACCCACGTAGCTCTTACTGGAATTCTCCGGGCTGAAGAACCCTAATGCAAATGTACCAGTTGCAGAAATCAGGGTTTTATTTCCAGTGATGTAATCTCCAGACAGCATATTGCCTTCGCATCTGTGAAGCATTCTGCAAAGAAAATATGTTATAAAAAATGCAAAAGCAATCATGATATCATGGCAACCCATTTAAAGAATTGAAGATTTTCTTGCTCCTGCCCAGAGAATCATCTAAACGGGGATATTTATAGTAATAACGTTATATCTTCGAAAAGAAAACGACTCTTAATTATTTTCTTGATTGTTGTGGATCGGATGAGAGATATATCTCAAATTTAAAATTTCGGCTCTATGATAAAAATATACGTAAATAATTTAATATGGGATACTTTTTATTATTTGAGTCTATTGTTCTAACAATTTATTGTCAAATTAATAAGTATTTTTTACTTATAATTAAGTATAATTCTATTATGCGCTTCAGAATTTCTTGTAATCTTCCACTTAATGTTAAGTAATTCTAAAGCACAAAGTACTCAGAACTCATTACCCTTTGGGGGGGGTGGGGGGGGGGGGGCGATTAAAAGATATTAATTGCCTAATTTAAAATTCAAAGTCAACTGATTTAGGCGCGGGGGGAGATTAAAAGATATTAATTGCCTAATTTAAAATTCAAAGCCAACTGATTTAGACTCTTTGATGCGTCTAAATCATTGAAAGAAATGTATCACGATGATTCTTAATGACAGTCCTTCGGTAGTTCTCATTCACTTATATCCTTGTTTTCTCCGAGGACCCAAGCAAGCCTTTGAGAAATCAAGGAGGAATGATTTGTGGCCAAAACATAAGATGTCATGTTTAATATCCATATATTAGTATAAGAAAACAACAAAATTAGCAAAATTACAACAATACTAAAATGATTTAATTCTCAAAACGATTTTTTAATTTCAAATTTTCTTTAAAATAATCTGTAATTTTATATTTTAAAACTATTTCTCAAAATGGATTAAAGCTGAAAATTGCCAAAATTGCTACTACCGGTAATAGTTTCCATTATTTGCCAATTCAATGCAGGTTTTATTTCAGTACATCACTTCTAATAAATGCAATGCTCCATTGAATACCAGTGATCTTACCAGATGGAGAGAAACGGACAAAATTAATGCTGATCCATGGTAAGAAAGGCTGTCTTGGTAAGATGCTGTTGGGATTTTCTTCTGTTCGCCAGAGTTAATTAGCCAAAGCTGAAGAAAAACAGAGGAACAGTCACATTGATGTACAACGAATATCATCAAAATAATACTTAGATTGATGTACTACGAAATGCAAGAAATTTGCCTCAAGATGGCGCTTCTATTCAGTCCATTATTCTCAAATTAGAAAGCAACACCAGCATTCCTCTTCTTTGTTCAAATGCCTAACAGAGGGGGGAAAAGAGAGAAGGACTCGAAAATTCCAAATCCATTACGCCTCACTTTCCATCGTGTCATTTTTTACCAAGTACAGCGCAATTCAAAACAGTAGTAAACAAAGTAGCATCAAACAAGCCAACTACCACCAGAGAACCAAAAAATACTCAAATTAATCAATAAAACCAAAAAAGGCGGTGTCCGGGAAAACGAATTAACAGAGAGAAATGAGTAATTTCGGAGATCAATACCCTGATATCAAAATCAGCACCGCCTGTGGCGAGTAGACCTGAAAAGGGACGGAAGTCTAGGGTTAGAACTGGTTTCGTGTCGTGCCAATTTCTCTGTACTGTGCCTCCCTTCATTACTTCTTTCTCCCTCTTCTAATACACTTTGTAGCTTGGATTCTCTCAAGAAAAGGACAGAAATTAGGGTTTGGTTTTAGGAAACAGCGAGGGCGAGGAAAACGTCTGTCATTTGGCGCGAGCTTGTTTTGATTTGGAGAGAATATCTCACTCATTCTTGTATCCGACCCGTTGGTCTCCGAGCCGAACCGAGGAAAATGAACTCCCATACTTTTTCTTTTATTTTTTATCCATGTTATTCTGATACTCAGATCAAAATATATTTTAATAAAAATAATAAAATCATTAACCATCCAATTAAAAAAAAATTATGCAATATTTTCTAATAAAATCAAATTTTCAATATATTTTATTTACTTGTTAATTTAATTCAAAGTGTACTTAAAATTTATTTACACAATTCATGCTGACTTAGATATAATTTCATGAATTCCTCTATTCCATTTGTAATTCTATCTTAATATAAAAGTTAAGCAGTATAAAATATTTATTTTTACATGACGATAAAAAGATAACATAATCTAATTTTAGTTACTATATAAATTATCTTATGGTTAGATTGAGAATGAATTTTATTTTTTTAAAAGAAGTGATTGAGATTGAATAAAAGGATAAATATCCATATCTATATATTTATCATTTATATATCATGCAAAGTTTCACTAAATTACAAAAATTAGTATTGTAATAATTTTTTACCTTACTATCAACATAATTTAAAAGTAACTTATTTCACATTTGTTCACTACCAA